ATTATAAATGGTAATACACTATGACAATCCATTACGTGACTTTAATTTATGCAGTTGTTAATATCAAACCTGAAGCTTCTGGCTTTTATCAGAACGCCGTGTAAGTCAATCGTTACTAAACACTCAATAATCAGTTGTATTTTGTCCAATATGAACTAGGAAGTACAACTAACATCATGGTATTTATTGAAAGCCAACCTTTACGTCATCAACTAGCAACATTATTATAATTAAAACCAACATAGTTGTCATTTCACTCTCCGATGATTGAAGTTAAATGCTCTTCATGGATTGCAGTCTTTATATATATATATATATATATATATATATATATATATATATATATATATATATATATATGCGAATGTGCAGCTTGAGACTGAATTCACTGAAAAGAGCCCTCTTCACTGAATATCTTGTTTTTGGTGTCACAGTGGGAATTATGAATTCATTGTAAGACTGGTGATATCGGCCGCCAAGCTAACCTGCTTCATATGGGCCTTGTGCTTGTTGACATTTATTAACAAGGTATTACTTTACCCCTTGGAAAACGTGTACTGCTTGAGCGATTTGAATCCGTTTTTCAACATTTTAGTCAGCAACACTGTTACTAATTTTGCCAAGTAGATATTGATTTACTATGTGACTCAGTTAATGATAGTAATCTGCCATTCAAGTGAGATCATACGCTTGGTTACATAGCACTAATAGAATTTGACTAATCAGGTATAATGGACAACAAATAATCTGACCGCATAATACTAGATTGTGGATTTTTCGAAAGTGATGGGTCTCGAGTTAGAAACTGTCGTTATACGCCCATAACACTGACACATGACTACAGGTACTCATCACTACAATACCGTTCTCATACTGTTGAAAGATACCGAAGAGAAGACTGGTAGGACAGGATTTATTACTCCAGAAGAAGGCGGAAACTAACTCAAAACCTATAGCTATTTTACTGGACCAACAACTGCTAAGTTTTTAATATATGAAAAAATTGTCTTCTGAGATACTGGTTGATAATGGACCAATAAAGTACGAATGATACTACCTTTGGTCAAGGTTAAAGACGAGTAGTTAGACCCTTTTTCTGCGTGGAAAACATTAACCAGTCAGCTATTTTTGTCTGTACTAACATCTATAAATACGTCTTTGATTGAGCGATCACTTGAAGATACTGTGTAGGTTGCCGCACTATATGTGATCTTCTGGGTGGGTCTTTTATTGGTTATTCCGATCGTTGTTTACTTGGCTTCATTTTTTCACACAAGATTTCCATTGATAAAGTATCTTGAAACTGGTTGTTAACATCAGATGAACTTTTACGTTTTTTTGATACGATTTACATTTCTCTATCACAACATTCTTTTAACGCCTTTCCGATAAGCTATGGGTGCAGTTGTCTGTTTTATTGTCCCAGCTACCCATTTTGATTTGTAGACTCAAAAATCATGAAAACATACTGACTCTTTAATTGAGATGTGCCTGAGCTTCACCTTCATTTCACTTGTTGTTAGGTTTTCAGAATTTGTGGAATTAGGTCATCCAATAAAATACGAATTTTAAGTCCAAAAGTGTTTTCATCAGGTGACAGTCCAATTGCTATTAATACATTCATAGTTGGTTTGGTAAACCAAAAAGCCTCTGGAGAACTTTTACCATCCGTTCATCTTCTTCCTTTAGCATGGCTGGTTTGAATATATCAAGTAGTCTTTCTGCGTGATCTAATCAAACCAGGATGGTATATTGAAGACCGAACATGCTGAATGTTATTGTCTTGACAGGACTTATAAAAATTAATTAAACTGATCCGTGTTCTGTCATCCGTAACAATGATATCCGGTAATCAGAAAGGACTAAATGCTTCTCCTAGTTCCTGTACTGTAGCCATGGCGGAAATATTCTCTATGATGAAAACCTTTGGCCATTTTGAAAGTGTATAAATCATCATTAGGAAATGTCTTCCTAAGAATGAACCAGCAAAATCAATATGAACTCCGTACCATAGGTATTTTGGAATATGTCATGAGTGCAGTTCTGTTCCGAATAGCAACCCAACGAAACTGCTAGCGATGTACTCCAATTCATTATCTAAATTCGGTCAGTAAACATAGTTCCAGGCAAATTTCCTCAACCTAATGATGCTTTAGTGAGATGAGTTGAGCCAACCACACCACATCACCAAACATTAGGTAACTACCAAACAGAGAGAGTTCCACTTTTGTTAAAAATGTTTGATTTATGGGCAAGTAATACGCGATGGCCGGCCAAAAGAAAAAAGATGACCTTACATATCACAAGGTAGAGACAGATAGCTTCTCTTATCTTTGTATCTGATAAGAATATTGAATTGGCGGTTAGTCAGAACTTCCTTCACTTCTTCTTCAACAGAACTATTATCGATCATCATATCTTCACTTTCCAGTTTATAACTTCCAATAAGGCGTGAAAGTACACCAACTTTATAAAAACCATGAGAAGACTTGGAATTTATTTGAAATTGTGGCCCAGTAGAATAACTGCCCGTCTCTGAATCCGATTCACTATGTAAACTGAAATTTCATTTTTAGAACCAGAGACAGACAGAAGAGGTTTGTGGTCAGTGAGAAAAGAAAAAATGCCATCATGAAGCACTTTGTGGAAGTTCTTGATTATGAAGACCAATGCAAGACCTTCTTTATCTGCCTGACTACGATTTTGTTTGGCATATATTAACGTTCCTGGACCATGTGAAGTCGGTTGTTCAAAACCATTTTCAATTAAATGAGACATTACTGCCCCAGTGTCATAATTAGATGTATCAGCCGTTTGAAGTTTACGATTACAATGTATAAGCAGCAGACTGTAAGAAAGTATTTCTTCAACGTTTTCATATCCAAACTGATATCCATTCGACTAAGTCCATTTCACATTTCGAATAGTTTTTTTAAAGGCTTTTACCACTGATATGCTTTCGGGACAAAAGAAGTGTAGAAACTGATTAATTTCGGGAATAAATGTAAGGTACTAAAGTTTTGTGGGACAGACATCTTCTGGATTGCTGCAAAATTCACCACAAATTCCACCACAAATCCCAGATATTCAACAGGCTGCTTGAAAAAATTACACTCACCTTCAAGTAATTGAAAGCCAAATTCACTGAACCTTAATGGTGTGTCATTTAGACGATTAAAACGTTCACCACAAGATCTTCCGCTTATAATTACATCGTCTAAACAAACTGCTACACTTCAAATTCCAAACATTTAGGCGTCAATAATTTGCTGGAAAAGGACTATAGTTGAGTTTGCACCGAAAGGTAGTCATTGATATCTCGGTAAAAACCACTGTGGGCATTGATATCCAAACGTTCTTTCGATAAATCATTCACTTCTACCTGTAAATAAGCGTCAACTAAATTGAGCTTTACGGGTTACTTTTGATCATTCAACTCTACAGAAATATTCTGTAGCACTGACAGTGTGTATAAATGATCTTCTAGTATGACATTAAACTTAGCAGATATGTCGGCTGACATACATATTGAACCAGTTACCTTCTTTATTAGAGCGACCAATGCTGCCAATGTAGAGTAGTCATTTGATTGGATAGTTCATAGTTATTTCCATCTATCTAGCTCTTTGTCGACTAGCCCCAAACTGGTCTTTTCACTTTGGAAACTGGTTTAGCATCAAGTCGATGAAACAATTTGACTTCCCGGAATGAACACCATTCCAAAGTCGAACGGAAGACTGCCTTGTGTTTAGCTGATAAGTAGGTTCATTTATGGTGTGGACATTCCATGTCCGCATGTTTACTTTTGCTTCCATCGAGAGAAGGCACGTCGGCAATTGGCGTTCCAAAGGCTTTCACCAACCGGCGTCATTTCGTCTCCCCGATTTCAGCAAGGAATAAGTTTATTTTTATGTTATATGTTTTCTTCGTGCTTTGAAGTTTCGTTAGCGATTGGATCCGTAGCCCTACGCTCAACCTTCCCCCTTTACCCTGGTCTAGGACCGGTTAGTAACTAGTAAATTAGTTAACCAGGCGAGGTTTCAACTGATAGGCAACTGATCAATAATATCAATTCACTTTGCTTATATATATATATATATATATATATATATATTTATAAATATAAAATCTTTTAGGGAGGAAAGAAAAAGAAAATAGTGGAAGTGAAAGTGGTAACATCAAACAACTCAGCGAATATTGGGTTAAATTGTCAAGGGTGAGATGGAGTCGGTTATCTAACCCATAAGCCAAAAAAATATCTCAGCAGACTAGTAATTATAACGTTGAGCTGAATAGATTTAGAAACGCTAAAACGGACCTTAGAAAGGAAATAAAAATATAGACATCAGAAAATTCACATGAAGAATGATGAAAAGAACCACTTGTGAATTCAATAAAATCTGTGAAGAATTTCATTTTGACTTCAACATTTAAAGTATTATGCGTAGGTTTCCTTTGAAGAAGATAAAATAATCGAACAACTAACACTAGCAGAAGAGTATGATGTTTCTTTCCAAAGACAGTCACATTTATATATATATGTATATATAAAAAACCAAAAATTTATGAATAAACTAAACTGCAAAATAGAAGATACTAATATTCTCACGCTAATCTACTATGTTAAGAAACGGAATAAGGGAAATAAATCAAACCATATTTTAATGAGCATGTAAATACTTGCTTAGTTCAGACGCCAGATGTACATAACTCATTTCTCATATAAAGAATTAGTTGGTGAATTAGCCTATAGTATGTATGCACCAATCGAATCTGTTTGTGTGTAGATTAGTGTGCACAGTGTGCTGCGTCTATGTGCAGAACAAAAAAGAAATAAGTTTTGTTCACCGAAATCAAAAGACTAATGAATTCAGATGATGTTAGTAATGTATCGTAGCACTGTACAGTGATTAAAGGGAATAGCATTTAAACAGTCGAAGTGCTTGAATGGAATCAGTTATAAACACACACTATTAAGGCTTGTCATTACAAAAATATAGTGCAAGTAAGTTGGTTATCTAATATATCCACTTAAAAATATAGTTTTGAGTCTTTAATTTATAAACTTTTGCTATTCGATACAACCCACAGATGCGTAATTTTTTTATGACTATACATGTGAAGTTGAAAACTGATTTTTATAAGCCTATCACCGCGATCAGTAGTTATTGTCACTGTAACAGAAACATATGCCTGTTCTCTGAGTGAAATGAATACTTAAACAACACTTACATCTGTCTATAGCCTTGAGCTGATATCTCTATGAACTGCATACATGATGACATCAGTTCACATGGGGCCAAACATGATTAATCGTAGATAACCTGAATATTTCCAACGGTTCGATGATGATCTTTAGGACTGATACAAAGGGTGAAACAAGTTTGAATCTGTGAGAAGCTACGAGTTTCATAAAAGTTGCAAACACTTCCTGATGCATGGACAAATTCCAACAGGCCTGAAAGCTAAGTTGAGAACATCTTCTCATACCTCATGCTTGAAGGTTCAGTACATCACCTTAAAGTTAGTTTTTAGATAACAGAGTTATGTGACAAAAGGTCACTACTTTGATGAATCAGCTTGAGACTTTCGGTAGTTAGTTATGAGCAGAAAACAGTTTCACCGAACGTTCTACTCATATTCTCAGGATCATGGAGCTATAGGTTATAGAGATTAAACATCAAAAACATTACCCACACTTCTCATGTTTCTTGATAATGTAAAGAAAAAGCGTTTTCATCTACTTTCGTTTTGATTCATACATAAGCCAACTGATAAACAAGGTGGAAGCATACAAATAGTTATCTTTCATAAGCTAAAGTCCAAATAACATTCCTATCTGCATAAAACTATTGTATTTCCTTCGCATACCAACTTTAGTTTACCTGCAATATGTAGTGTAGATTCGCTATTCAAAAAAGCCGCTTACAACAGGCTAAAGTATTTACTTACCTTGATGTTGGAAATTCCGAAGGTAAACAAGTTTCCGCGTTTGTTTGCACTTTCAACCAAGGCCTACCCACAACTCCAAAATACTGATACTGCCTTCTAATACTGAAACCCCATCCATTAGCATTTCCTTCAATGACCTAACAACTCAGTTAACTGAACTGCGTCAGGTTTCTTCGCCCATAAAGATAGACATTTAGAAACCAATAAATATTCATGTCTCATATTTTGGGTATTTAAAGCTGGTATACAGTGAGTAAACTCAAACAGTTTCAAAGCATATATTTATTCTCATAATGTAATGGATATAGGGTCTAATAAGCATGGATGGAATATGTAAATCTGTTGAAACAGATGAAAATGAAGCTTATTCCAGTGACAGTCTGAATTCAGTCGAAATACAAACAGAAAAATAGCAGTTTTGAATAACTTCCTGATGGAATCTTAAGAGTGAACTAGTTACCAGCAAAAAGGAAACAATGAGTGAAAAAGCTTGGAAATGTTGTAAGTTTATGAATTACTGGGTTGGATTTTCAAGCTGAAGGACTTTTCCAAAATGAACATATATTTAAGAGTTAGAAAATGAATACACAAACTAACAACAGTAGTTTACTACTCGACTTCTCCCAGAGAATGAAAGCATCAAGCATTTTTAGCTTACATCTCGCATGCAGGGGTTTTTTGACGTTATCTTTAGTTTTAAACGCAAACACTTTACAGTTCTTCAGTACTAGGACCTAAGATGTACGTTTAGTTTTGCAAAAAATTAGAGATTGTCCTTGAACTTCTATGAAAATAACCTATATATCGTCACAAAGTGACCATTGTGTTATTAAAAGACAAAAAGGATCACTTCAAACTCTTTTAGTAACCTACTGTCTTTGAACAAGTAGTGAATGATGTGACATCAGCTAGGCTAATCAAACTCTGCCTTTCGAAGTAGTTTGGTTGTGGGTGTTAGGTAAGTTGTGGGCAGGGCCATCTACTGAGATGGAGGGCGATACTGAAATAGAGCGGAATGGCCTCTCTTGATCTCTTTGCTGTCAATTACGAAACCACGAAAATGTTTTCAGCGAAGTGTTTGCTTCCAAATAGGGAGTGGAAAACTTGGCTTGTTTATGCTTCAGCTAGAGAATATATACTATTGGGTGATATGAGTGCTTGGATGACATTCGTATAAACCAACTTCCTTTGCTAACCATACATGGCTTAATTCACTGTATTGATTCAGGTGAAAAATATAAAGTTGGAAATCTCTTGTCCGTCATATAATTCACCATCACTTCCCTCTCTAGTTCAATAAACTAATCATCGATAATTGCAAAAAGTTCAGCAATCCGGCAAAACTAAAGGTTAATGAGCAAAGTTCGAAGATAACTGTTTCCCCCCCCCCCCCAATATACCATTTTTGCCAAGAGGTTGTGTTGATTTCTTATAATGCGGTATGTGAAATTTTTTGGCAGAAGAAAAGAATTCGAAAGTCATTCTAATTTCATGACAAGTTTTGCGAACTAAAGGTTACATTTGACTATTCCATGTAGGCTGAAGTCATACTCATTCATCCTGCTTGCTTTAGATCCAAAGCTTTCAAGACACTCTGTGATCACAACAAAGTTATAAGGTTTATGATAGGATGACAAAGAGAAAACTGCTTACTTTTTTGGGTTTTTCGCATAAGATGTTAGGAAAGAGAACCGAGTGAGTGGAGAATCAGTTTAAGCAGCCATCCTGACTAATAAGGATTTGAACCTTAATAGTTTCTGATCAACAGCATATATGAGGACCTCGTTCAGAAAGCTTTGTCAAAAAGCAGAATAACGTTGGTCACAGAAGGCACAATGTGACAGTCATATCAATGCAGTTTTCTACTGTATACAAATGATTCCAATACAGGTATTCAAATAACGAATTAACTATCTACAATTCGCTTCCTCGATTCACATTTCAACTGTTTTGTCTACCGTAACTGTCAAGAACAAGGTTACCTGGAAAACAATGGTGCTCAGATGTCACCATTCATACCAATGATACGTCCAATACGAGCAAAAATAGGAGCAATTTTTGTGGTCCCGTGAGACTTTTCAATTTAGAGGAGAGGATGGTTGCATATTGCTGTGCTTCAAGGATGACCTAAGTACACCACAGTCTGAATAAAGTAACACATTAGAAAATTATTGATTTTAATTCATCAGTTTAACGACAAGTCAATAAAAACGAGAATTTATGGTTCGCAACTTTATACTGTGAAACTAATAGAAGTTTTCATACGTTCACCAGTAGAAAGTGGATCTTTTAAAAAGCTTTTTTAAGTATGATTTGCATATTTCTTGCTGTGACTACTTTTGAAAACCTTGTAAAAACAAATTTAATTTTATTGCTTTTGTCTAGAAGAATGAATTGGTTTGCTAATTCTGAACACAATTATTCTCATGATCAATTGTCGGTGGTTACTAGAAAAGATACTCCGTGTCCCATGAAAAATACTAGCTACTTTTCATGTGATGTTTCAGAAGATACCAACAACAGTGAAGTAACATTCGATTTGCCCCACTGGACTTTTCTCCAACATCAATGTCAAGGCTACATGCATCAGAAGCAAGAAAATATTTCACGAAATCAAGAATATGAGATGAAATATGAAACATCTCAGTCAATCACTGCAAACAAATTTGATGACCGTTTAAATTACTGTGGGACTTACCCAGACCGTAATATTTCCGCAGTCGTATCTCTACAGGAAGCACTGCAATCTCAGTTTATAAAAGTTAAGCGTACACCAATGACAAATGATGTTACTGGATCTTGGTATCTTCTTGATGGCGAGGTTGATAGCAAGCGGAGAGGATTTCAGGAGAATTATTCCAGACAATCTCCTATTTCAATAAAAGATATAAGATTCGGTCCTTCTCTAATTAGCCATAACGAATATTCTCTACAGAGTTATTTCTTTGGTCATCCAATTGACACTGGGCTACAGAAAGCTGAAATGACCCACCAGCAACCACAGAGTTTTGATTGTTCTACTTCTCCGAGCACACAGGGCAGTATAAAGCAAGAAAAGCTCGATAAGAGTCCAAAGCTGCAAAATAACGTTGTTATTCAAAAGCAGTCTTTAATTTGTCGATGGAAATCTTGTAATCTGGTGGGTGTGCATGTATTTACTTGGCTTTTAACCCTTTACTGTGTGACGTGTCTTTGCATACTATCACAGTGGGATTAATGACGTAATCTAACACTCTATAAAACAGTCCTCTGCTAATTTAACTATCCAATATAAGAGCAAAACTTGGGCACTGTGGTTGATTGTAATTTCATTCCAGTCTGTTTATTAGAAATATCACACAGTGAAACAGTATCATTTACTGGATAATGTTTCGGACATAATCTATTGTCCATATTCATATCATATGAATATACAGCGATATTCTTGCATGGTTTAGTAAATGGTTCCATTCTGTAAGAAGTAACTGGAGGTAAATCTGAGCTATAAACTATGGGCCCATTTTGATTTTGTGCAAAGTATGTCTATTCTATTTCTCAGTGGGGTTTTAATACACTAGTGAATAATAAATAACATGTTTTCATAAAACTACTAGGAGGAATAAGTATCAAATTGCACGTAACACTTTATTTGTGTCGTAAAAGAGCATTCATGCTTTTGTCCCATAGAAGGTACTGACACTAAGTTGCCCTTGGTAAACACACTTTATCTTTTAGTGGAATACCATCTCTGAAAGTCTAAATACAAAAACATATCTCATGGCACCACTTACAGTTAGTAATTATGTTTTTCTTATCAGTTATTGGTTACAGTGAACATTACAACTGTGACGATGCATTTAAAGTACTTCAATTTAGAACATGTGTTGCAATAATAAGAGGGTAGTCAATTACTAGACGTCTAGGCTATTTTAAGAAACAAAGAAAGTATCTTCAATAGGCGCTACGGAAACGAAAACGGGACAGTTGAAGCCCGTACACAGCGACTGTCTTATTCAATAAAATTTGCCTACCTGAAATCTGACTAGGATAAACAGTGAGTATTGGAAAGCCTACAATCAAACCTTTTCTTAATTACAGGAACTCATCTTTGAAAGTGGGACAACATGAATTGTGCTTTACATTCAATGCTTGGAGTTTCTAAATGAATGAATATTGCCCACGAAATAGAAATGAATTCTGACGACTGAATTAACTCAGCTGATTTGGTTTTTTAAAACACTTAGTTCCCTTTATAAACTTCGACAAAACAATATGAAGACGTAAATTGTCTGAACCGTGTTATGTAATTGTGGAACATATTTCGAACTACCAGATCACACACGTTCATGTCATGGGTATTCACATGAAAATTCATGAAGATAAGGGGTGAGAAAATGAAAAGAGGTCAAGTATGAAGACTGAATTAAAAGCCGAGGAACAATGAAAACCAATAGAGTTGAAATAATAGTACATCGAACTTGGTTTTCATAGTTGAATTTACCAAGGAAGATTTAATGTCATAACAAATTGCTTATGAACACCAAGGTAGTTTGAACTTTCTAATACCTAAAACGTCAACAAATTTACGGATCCATCCCCAAAATATTTTGTATATAGGTCTAAAGGAAGTAGCCACGTCATTCCTGTTTCGTGGTTGAAGAACTTGGGTGTATGCTACCAACGTTTATGGGTTAAGGTGATTAAATTTGCTTCTGAAGAGACTTTGAAATAGGTTACGAGGCCCTTACTTACATGGATCTATGAGTCCTCCCAATGAATGTGTCACCACATGTACATCTGAATTAGTAGATGCAATGGGGTGTGACGTTGTAGCTCATATTAAGCCTATATACAAAATATTTTGGGGATGGATCCGTAAATTTGTTGACGTTTTAGGTATTAGAAAGTTCAAACTACCTTGGTGTTCATAAGCAATTTGTTATGACATTAAATCTTCCTTGGTAAATTCAACTATGAAAACCAAGTTCGATGTACTATTATTTCAACTCTATTGGTTTTCATTGTTCCTCGGCTTTTAATTCAGTCTTCATACTTGACCTCTTTTCATTTTCTCACCCCTTATCTTCATGAATTTTCATGTGAATACCCATGACATGAACGTGTGTGATCTGGTAGTTCGAAATATGTTCCACAATTACATAACACGGTTCAGACAATTTACGTCATTTTATTAATTTAGTATAAGAATACAACTTGTGCACTGTGGTGGAATGTAATTCCGTTTTTATTGATTTGACACTTCGGACACAATTTATGGTTCACAGTCATATCAAGATAACTACACAACTTTGAGTATCCTTTATACAGTCCTAATCTCCTCGCCTCCTTTGTGACATGGGTAGTAGGATTTTCTATATATCCGGAACACGTGCTGAGTCATTCCTGTTGCATGTTTTAGGTGTTGATTCGATAAACAAACACTCAGTTATCAATCTCTCCATCCACCCTGTTATGTTAGTTTTTGATAATTTTCACCCTGTTCCATCCCATTGTGTGGTAGTATGTAATCGAATCCATAGTTATGGCTGACCATTTCTCCAAATTTCTTACTTTATTAGGACCTAGTTTTGTGAATGTTTCGCTGTCCATGGTAACCTGTTCCCAAACTATGCTTTTAAAATTTTCATTGCCTTTTAGGACACAGATAATAAGCCAAAGTACCAACAGAAATTCTCTGTGGCTTCAGATTAAAAATATTTTAGTGAAACTGAAGGACAGATTTTAACTTTAGCCAACTTCGTTGCATTTTGGTTTGAAAATTATTTCATTGAATATCCCTCATTTGGACCATTGAAAAAATCTCACTGACCAATTATTTTCTTTGCTTAGTTTTCCTGTATGTTTGCTTGTGTAAGTAGAAAGGGTTGATCAGTCAGGGACAATGAACGCCAAAATACTTATTTTAGAGTGAACAATAGGTATTTTCTGTACGCTTTTTGTACGTCAGGAAGTCAGTCGAAACCTCCACACTTTAAAGTGATTCGGCAATACAATTAAAAGTGCGTTTATTGTTCTGTGAACATGAAATTCAACAGTTTGTCAATGATATTCAGAAGCTATATCAGGAATCGTGAACTTTATAAACAAATATGCAGCTGATTTTTCAATCGTCTTTAGATGAGACAGGATGGATAAAAGATTATCTAAACAAACCCAATTATAACAGATTTATCAACCCAAAACTTCTTGTGAAGTCATGCACGTAACATGCTGTTCTTGAAATTTACGTTCAGTACTTCCAGAAGCTTACTAGTGTGGCTAAGGATAAGTTCAATGAAAGTCGTGTAGAACTCAATGCAATTTAATGTGCTTTGATATAGTTTGAAATATATTTTTAGGTGTAATCTTGCTGATGAAATTTCGTCACAGTGCTAGTTGAAGACAAATAGACTAGAAAGTTTTGTGCACTCAATCACTTGCATTTCAGAAGTACTTTTTATAATTCAGAATGTGTACATTAATCCATGAATTACTTAAGTACTTGTAATGATTCATCTAAATGAACTTATGAACGTATAATTGATAGATACATGATTTTATAAGTGAATTAATGATTTCTTGGTTTGTCACTGGAGGGCGACCAGCTTCATGATGTCAAGTCATAGGATCTGACTGAATTCTATCGATAGTTTTGCAGTCCGGCCACCAGGCTAGGAGACTCATTATTATGGTGCACTGAGATGTTGGTTAGATGGAAGCAATGGGCAGCAAGCCCCCAACATAGGTGTCGTGAGCTCGACACTTATCAGCAAACTTGACAGAACTGATGTCCCGCATGAGATTCAAACCCATGTCACTCAGTGTTGCAATCAGGAATGTTACCACTGAGCTGTTCAAACCATGAGTGACCTCCTGTAGGACTGGATTGGTTACACTGATTGTTTGCAGCATTACCGAGTGGTTTAGCCAGGTGGCCACATTGCAAAATGGGAGGTAGAGTTCGATCAGCCTATAGAACTAGACAACAAGAAGTTGGTCACCCTTCAGTAATGAGTCACTGTGCCTAACCCAGTTCTACAGGAGATCAGTGTATATCTGAATAGCTTAGTGGTAACATCTCTGACTGCAACACGAGGTGAAGCGGTTTCGAATCTCAGGTGGGACATCAGTTCCGTAAAGGTTGCAGATGCTCCTTGCTGGCGAGTGACGAAAAGCCTGGATTGTAGTTCTATGGCTTTCTGCTAACTGGCTCCATCCAACTAAAGGGGTGATTTACTCTCTCTACTTACTTAAAGATGTGAATACCTTAATGAGGAAATGGAATAATTTATATACTTTTAGACAATTCGTTTCCAGTCAGTGGATACTATTATGAATAAGGTCAAGAAATCGATAGGGGATCTGATACGCCGGATGAAGGGGTTTAATTTAATGCCGAAAACTAATAATCCCAGTGGAATGTATGGTGCTATGAAGATTCACAAGCCAGGTTATCCCATTAAGCCTATGGTAGATTTTAGGAACACTCCGACCTACGAGTTGTCTAAATATTTACCAGTGGTGTTAGGCCCAATAAAAAATCCCTCAAAGTCTAGACTTACGAACTCTTATGGCTTAAAGCACAGATGAGACGGCATACACTTAGGCGAAAGTGAAAAAATGGTGAATTTTGACATAACTAGCCTTTACACAAATATATAGATCCACATGGCTCTAGAGGCAGTTAGAAATAGGCTTAAAGATGACAAAGAACTTACGCATCGAACTAAGGTGACGATCGAGGAAATCATGCTAGGAGTACGACTGTGCCTAACATCTACAGTTTTTAAGTTTCAAAATAAAATATTTAAACAAACTGAAGGTGTTGCCATGGGATCACCAATGTCGCTTATCGCCGCAGACATATTTATTGGTAGTTGGGAACAGATGGCCCTTCAAACATTTAGTCGTACTCCAAAGATATAGTTCCGATATGTAGATTATATGTTTACAGTACTGAAATCGGAATACATCAATAGGTTCTTGGAACATATAAATTCAGTAGGGAATGCAATCCAATTTACTTGTGACTTCGAAAGTGAAGAAGGTGAGCTAGCAATGTTGGATTACAAGATTAAACGAACATAAGACGAAAGTCTGGAGACTAGTGTCTGTAGGAAACCTACCCATTCGAATCACTACTTAGACTTCGAATCCTCCCACCCCATTTCAGTTAAAGTAGGCCTAGTTAAATGCTTAGGTGATAGAGCGAAAAAGCTTACTAGTAGATCGGAAAATCAACAACAAGAAATTAGACACATCAAGAATACCCTATGCTTCATTAATTACCCACCAAACTTTATAAATAAATTCATAAGAAATCGAAATAAAAATATTAGCAGTGGAAGTAGTAGTAATACAGATGTCATTGATAATAATTCTACTACTAGTTGTAATAATGGTGACATTGTTGAGAGAGAATTCAAAGCCTCTGCTATATTACCATACAAGGAAGGCACCTCAGAAACATTACGAAGAATTCTCAATAAGGCTGGGATTCAAGTGGCATTTAAACCAAAAAACTCGCTTAGAAACAAGCTTTGTAGGTTAAAAGATTCTGTCGATGCAATTAAGCAAAATAATCTGGTTTACCAAATCCCTTGCAATGACTGCGAGGTCAAATACATAGGACAAAGCAGTCGATCAGGATCGATTAGAATATCAGAGCACAAAAACTTGGCTAAATCAAGATTAGTAGATCTGAATAAGATAGGAAATCTAGAGAAAAACTCGGCTATAGCTTTGCGTGCGATGACACACAATCACACAATAGGGTGGGATAGGGTGACAGTATTGAAAAGTAACTTAGTTGGATGGAGGGAGAGATCGATGATTGAATCTTTGTTTATTGAATCAACGCCAAACATGCAATCGAAATGATGCTGCACCTGTCCCAGATATACGGAAAATTCTACTACCCTTGTCATCACAGAGAAGGAGAGAAAATTAGGAATATATAAAGTCTGTCCCGAAGTTGTGGAGTTACCTGATATGAATATGGACAATAGATTATGTCCGAAACGTTATCCAGTAAATGATACTGTTTCACTGTGTGATATTTCTAATAAACAGACTGGAATGAAATTACAATCAACCACAGTGCCTAAGCTTTACTCATATTAATTTGTTTCCAAATTATTGTCTACCAGATTGGTTTTCAGTTAATCACCTGCTTAGTGCTCAGTATCATCCTTGAACATTTTAGTTCTAACTTTAAACGATGATGAAACTTTGATGAATAGAAATCTCATGGAAAAATCGGTCTGCCCAAGATTTGTTAGTTTCTATTCATTTTCATTTTGCGTTATTATTGAAAGTCAGGTCAGGAATGATAATCAACATAGCGAATGAAAAGTCGATGCAAATAAGGATAAACGTGTAGTCAACAGTACTGTCAACAACGGAGATGACGAAAAAAATAAGGTTAAATAAAACACTACCTGTGCAGAAGACTCGCGAGCTGAAGACTAACAACTCAGTGTGAAGAATTGAACCGAACAGACTATAAATCGAATACTTGCTGATGCAGTCGGAGTAACAGACTCTGTAACTTTCATAGATTCCTATTTACACCGATCAACATTGAAAAAGTCGTTAACTATGTTGACTGATAGACTAGTAATTTACACTGAAAGGCTAAGGCTTTTTCTTTTCATATAACTCAGAGAGAGAAGTCTGTTTATGAATAAAAGAACAGAAAATGAGGGTGATCATTTGAAGTTGAATATGCGAAAGGTTTACACGCTAATCACTTACTGGTGAGCAGTAAGATGATAAACAAATTTACATCATGGTGTATTATGTTTGACACTGGTTAGTCGCACACAACGTTTCATAACCTCTGACCGACTGAAGTAATATATCTTTCAGTAGTGCATATTCAGGAAGTATCTATAACGCTGAAAGAAGTGTTCCAGTTGACATGAAAGATAATTAAGACACTGTACTGACTACACTTGGAACGACGTTCCCTAATTTAAAATATGCACTGTGTACATTCTCTGGTATTTTAACCAAGTAGCTTTGAGGAAATTAAAGTTTCTCATTCTCGTTTACAAAAATCTACTCTTTTTATTATTTTGTCCAGATATTTACCGATCATAAATCTTTTGTAAATCACATTGAGGCATCACATGTTGCTTCGCACATATCCAATAAAGAATACTGTTGTTATTGGGAAGGTTGTCGACGTCAGTTAAAACCGTTTAACGCACGATATAAATTAATCGTCCATCTGCGTATTCACAATGGTGATCGACCAAGTAAATGCCTAGTAAGTGAATAGTACTTAACCTTCAGTATTTTACAACATTTGATTCCATGCCTTACAGCGTATCTGCAAATCAATTTCTCATTTCATCATCTTCATAAACTCATGTCGATTCGTTATAATGTTAAGTATTTCTTCTACAAGTGGATATACTAACAATATCAAGAGGTAAAATCATCCAAGCATTTCTAAATTACGAAAACTTCAAGATTTATGAATAATTTAAACTGATTTTCTTCATCACAGGCTATTATCTGGATATAGATCGTTAATACTTACTGACTTGAAAAGCCCTGGACACTGCGAACTCACAATTTTAAGCTACTCAACGTGAAACAGTATAGTAAAAAGTAACTTTCACTTTTATGAATGTAGCCCATCTATTCGGATAAAGCTGGCGTTTTTAAATTATTGAGGATTTAGGAACACAGTATTCTTCTAAAGTAGGGAAACACATTCCTAAATGTTTAAATATATCATTGCTTCATTGGTGTTAAAGGTAGGCATCACTTAGATTGATCAGCCTTCTTGCTGTGAATACCATGGTTCAATCCTCAGATGAAATTCTTGTTCGCCAACAGTCATGGAATTATTATTTTTCCCTTGGGTTCATAGTAAAACATAGGGCTTCAATAGCACGTCTTCATTTCACTCCCTTCTCTCCAGTCTTCAAAACATGGCTCCAACACTCCCAACAACCTATTATTTCTTCCTCACACCATCTACTCCATGTCACCCTCTCCCCGGAAGCCCAACTCGTCTTCTCTCATATGGATTCCACTCGAGGAACTGGTCTGGCCTGGCATGGACTGGCGCGTGATGTCCCAATCAGCCTTCTCTATGTATGCCCAATCCAATCCAATCCATCTACACTCTCTTCTGCATATTGTTGGGTGATGAATGGGATGATGGTTGATTGGTTCGTTGCCAACCTGCCTGTCTGCCAGCAAGCTAGCCAGCCAGCCAGCCAGACATCCTTGTTGATTATTTTTACTACTCTGGCCATCTGATCCTCAGTGTCAGCATGGAGTAAGCGTAGGCGACAGCTGTTCATAAATGTCTGTAGTTTGTTGCAAGTGATTTTCGTGATGCGCTTAGTCTCTCAACCATCACATAACAGCACTGACTTGACTGACATTGGTGTTGGAAATCCAGATCTTGTTCAGGCTTTATGCTGAGTGCACTGCAGTGCAGTAGATCTCCATACTGATTTCAGATTAATCAATGCTTGTCTTGCTTTTCCAATCCCGGATGGCTTTGACATTCTCATCTGTGCCTGTGCCTGTGCCTGTGCCTGTACCGCCTGTAGTTGAAATGATGCTGCCTAGGCAGATAGGTGAAAGAGACTACAAAGTCATGGAATAATTTATATTAACTGCGTGTGAATAAATTTAAGTTTATAAGATTTGAAAGAATGAGAATGATTTAATCACCATTTTAACCCTTAATAAAAGTGTAGATATTTGATTAACCGCACTATTATTTCTTTACACTTGTAGCCTTATTCACTGTAAGTAGAGTAAATCAAATTATAGTTCTCTGAGTTCGCAAGCAACTTCTCAAGTTTACAAGTATTTCTGCAGTGCTGAAAGGCACAAACTTCGTGTCAAACAAACTTTTTCTTTGCTTTTCCTTGGAAACTAAAGCTTTGTAATATCTTACCATCCCGGAATCTACAAGAAATACTTGGTATATGTAACTGTTCTCTCTCGTCGACTAACTGAATGACTTCTCGACATCGTAAGAAATTGTCAGTTAAGTATAAGGTGCTATAAGTTTCAGTATTTTGTGAAACTTCACCTATATTCACTTTTTCACAGAAAATAAAAAATGATCATCCTTCTCTTAGAATGCAAGCCAACAGTTTGCAAGTTTTATCTTTACTTGCAACCGCGAGTACACTGTGAGCCTGTTTATATCTGATAGATGATACAGAGTGACCTTGATAAGAATCAGTCTACAGGCACCCATGGTTAATAAATGTTGAAGGTTACTAGGTTTTCAGAGAACTGATTGCTTTCACTGAAGCCATTACGTTTTGACACTGTATGCAGAATGCTTTGACATCAGTCGATTTCTCATAAACCTCCAAACAATAAATCTTTAGCGTTAATTTGGGACTATATTTGAGATAGGTATCCGGAAGTTCCAATAAGAAACCATGACGTGACAGTTCATCCGAATCAGGTGTGGAATCAGTTATTCGATAATGAAATTAAATTATAGTTGCACTCTACTGAGAACTACTGGAAGCACCATACATTGGAACAGCATTGTTTACTGGATTTTGTATGCCGAATGAAGCCGTTTCTAGGTGAGTAGAAATGGTATCATTTACTGCCGAAAAGTAATAATCCCAGCAGGATTTATGGTGCTATTAAAATTCATAAACTAGCTTATTCTATTAGTCCCATAGTAAACGTTAGAAGCATTCTTACTTATGACTTATCTGAATATTTAGCTATTGTCTTTGGTCCATTTAAAAACCTTTCTGAATCAGGACTTACCATCTCTTATAACCTGAAGCATAGATTAGATGACATCCATTTAGATGACAAAATGAAAAAATGGTTATTTTTAATGTAGTTAGTTTATACACTAACTTACCGATTGACATGACCTTGGAAGCAGTTGGAAATGAGCTCAGCAATGACCCTGAGCCTACACTATGAACTAAGGTACCAGTAGCTAAGACCATGCTAGAGGTACAGCAGTGCCTAACTTCCATAAGTTTCAGAATGAAATATACAAACAAACATAAGGAGTTGCCGTGAGATCACTAATATATCCTATCCTGGATGATACACTTTTGGATATTTGGGAACAGGTGGCTGTGGGAAAATTTAGTCTGGCTCCAAAAGTATGGCTTCGACATATATACGATACGTTTGCACAGTTGAAATCGGAACGCTTACACATAAATTCCACAATCAACCCAGTTCAATTCATCTATGAATTAGAAAGTAGTGAAGGGGAATAAGCGATGTTGGATTTCAGAATAAAACAAAAACAAGATGGGAGTTTAGACACTAGTGTCTATAGAAAGCCTCCACATTCAAATCGTTACTTAAACTTCAGATCGTCTCACCCTGTGTCAGTTTAAGTTGGCTTCATAAAATATCTAAGTAACATGGTCAGAAAACTTACTGGTAAAACAGAAGATCTAAGACAAGAAACTAGATACCTTAAGAACGCCTTACTCATCAATAATTATCCTCCTAAACTGATTGATAAGTACCTTGGGAATCGTAAGAATAATATGACCAATATTAGTAACACAGGTGTTAATAGTAGCAATAGTGGCAATACTAAGAAGAGAGAATTCGAGACCTGCACAATGTCACCATACAAAGAAGGCACCTCATAAACATTAAGTAGGATTCTCGATAAAGCCGGGATTACAGTGACATTTAAACCTACAAACTCGCTTATAAATAAGCTTTGTAGGTTAAAAGATCTTAGTAATCAAATTAAGCAGAATAATTTAGTTTGCCGAATCCTTTGTAACGATTACGAAGTCAAATGTGCGGGTCAGAGTAGTCGACCAGATTGAACTAGGCTATCCGAGCACAAAAGCCTCGTTGGGTTAAAATTGGTAGAACCTAGTAAGATAAGAAATTTGGAGAAATGGTCAGCCATAACTATGGATTCGATTACATACTACCACACAATGGGATGGAACAGGGTGAAAATTATCAAAAACTAACATAACAGGGTGGATGGAGAGATTGATAACTGAGTGTTTGTTTATCGAATCAACACCTAAAACATGCAACAGGAATGACTCAGCACGTGTTCCGGATATATAGAAAATCCTACTACCCATGTCACAAAGGAGGCGAGGAGATTAGGACTGTATAAAGGATACTCAAAGTTGTGTAGCTATCTTGATATGACTGTGAACCATAAATTGTGTCCGAAACATAATCCAGTAAACAATACTATTCTACTGTGCGATAAATCTAATAAGTCAATAAAAACGTAATTACTTTCTACCACAGTGAACACGTTTTACTATTATATTAATTAATGGAAGTATAAAAATATGAACTATCTGTTCTCGACTGTAAGGCCGAATGGTAGTGTTATCGCTATCAGACTTAATGCTTCTGCTTTTTCTAGATCATGTATGATGGGTACTTTTTAAGGTCTACAAACCAGTTTAAGGCAACATTTTCAGGTTTTTAGTGATTTCCCAACTGATACTGAATTATTAAAAATACTTTGAAACTAATAATGAAGATTTACCTCTTAAAGAACTCATCAATATTATTAATAGATTGGTTCCCGATAATCAACGGCGATGGTGAGTGGTTTTGTAGAGGGAAGAAGTATCATTGTCAGCAACTGGAACATTTCGTTCACGTTCAGCGCACTTAATATGATACCTTCTAACGTCTTCTTATGTTTGCTGTTAGTGAAGAAAAGCATCACGCATCAACATATATAATGTCACTGATTTGGTGGTGAATAACATTGCGGTCTATTTCCACTTTGTATTACCCAGAAATTCTCGGTTATTATAATGTATGCCTAGAAAGCAAGGGGGTCCCCGGGTATAATGATTGAAGACCGATTGAGCATATTTTCACTGAAGGTGTAAGATTCATTTTTAGCACGACAACGGACTCAACATCTAAACTAAAATTTCATATACTCAACATAGGTATTAAAGTCAGTTTGTAGATTTGTGGGGATTTCATTGACTTCAAGTTGGTAGTCATCACGGGTTGACATCAGTTGGAAAATCATCGAGGTTAGGAACTATGGGCTTTTGAATTCTGATCAAGTGGCTGAATGTTATGATGCTGGTTACCAAGCCTGAAAGTCTGGAGTTTGGTTCCTGGTAGGAACATGGGTGCGTACTTCTGTGGAGTCAGATAATGGGACGAAACAGCTGTCCAGTGTTCCTAGGTTTTCGGTGGTTCTCTGACTGATTTCATTCCGTGATGAATACCAAAATGAAGAAGTTTTTGGGTTTATACTAAGTGTTTTTATATTGTAAAGTTTAATATATCGAATTTAGGATCATCTCTTATCTCCAAAAAGGCTAAAAAGATAAAAAGACAGTCTTCGTCAATAAGTCATGCGTGCCCAGAAGTGTTTTTGGTTTAGAGTTGTGAAAATTTTCCATTATTCAACTATCGATATTCTGTTTATTTTCTTTGTCAACTTTTTTCTTTTTTCTGATATCAAGTATCCTGATTGTTACAAAGCGTTTTCACGTCTGGAGAATTTAAAAATCCATATGCGCTCACATACTGGTGAAAGACCGTTTATTTGTCAACAGGATGGCTGTAATCGCGCCTTTTCAAATAGTTCTGACAGAGCGAAACATCAGCGTACACATATACATATAGTAAGCTATTAATTATTACGTGCTATGAAACAAAATCTAAGTTAGATTGTTTGTATTATGACGACTATTGAAGGTATCATTGTCAAGTGCTTATTATTCTGGATTATTGTTGAACCATGCTGAGAGCTCTTTTATTTGTAGGAGGACTAAAATGATCTCAAAACCAATTTTGTTAGCCATGCATTTGTAATCTGAAAAACTCTTGTGAATTCATCTATTTAAGTCAGCAGCATTCAGTAACTAAAATTTATCTTTCTGAAATGAATCTTTATAGGCACAGGATTTGAGCGAAAAGCCTTACTCCTGGGTTTAGATTTCTCTGAGTTGACCCGTCGAACACACTAACTTGTACTGTTGGCACTCTGAAATTCATGTCACTAACTAATGTATTTTGTTTTATAGTTGCAAATATGTTAGCTGGGAAAGTGCTTATAGTATTGAATGCTTGATGAGAATCTTCAAAGAGCCTCGCATTTAGATATCATGCTTGTTGAGACTTGAAAGTTAGGCGTATCTGAAACTTAGAAAACTGGTGTTGTCAAACAGGGTTCCAACTTACATAATTTAACTTGGCATTCACTGACTTTACGACTGATCTATTCAAGCAGAGTACTGATTTCTTTTGAACCGAATTTTATGCATCATTTGGTTATTGGAAAGGATACCTAATATTCATCTCTGACTGAGTTCTAGCAACCAGCTTTACAGTACAACCACCGAAATACGTTACTGAAAACAGCAATTTAAGGCTATATATATATATATATATATATATATATATATATATATATATATATATATATATATATATATATATAATGTTTGAAGCTGACTTACAAGCCTGCTCAGATTGCAGTAATAGACAAGAACCCAGATGGTAACATTAAATTCATTCTAATGGAGGAGATGAATGCCAAAATGGAAGAAGGCGACACAGGAATAGAAATCAGCGTGGGTCGAGAGGTACTTGGAGAAATGAATAAGAACGAGGAACATTTTGCAGACATTTGCGCATTCAACTATTTGGTGATGGGAGGCGAGGCACAGTGTACAAACACAAAGATATTGACAAGGCAGCGAGCGACATGGATTTCGCCAGACATCAGGACAAACTACACTGAAAGTTAGATCGACTGCATCTGAATCTGAAGAGAGTGGAGACGCAGCCAGCCTAATGGAGAAGAGATGAGAGGAAGAAGCGAGGGGGTGGAGCAGATATAGGTTCCTATAATTCACTCACTATGTTGTGCAAGGAGCTTGCCCACCCACTTTCCAAATCAAGTTGAAAGCCACAATCCAAGAAGCTGGTGACAGACCACAGTCGAAGTTCAACAACCACCCAGAACAGAAACTGAACTGAACTGAACTTAACTGAAGGACTGAAGGAACTACAGCAGACATCCTCACGTCAGCGAGTAATCAGAACAAAATGGGAGATACTGAGCAACATCCGCGAAGCGACGTGTGTGGAAGAACACTGGAGCTGTGTAAAAGAGATGTGGAAAGAAATCTGCATAACTAACTGTATTAGGAAGGAAGAGGAAACAAGACAAGGAATGGAATGGAATGGATCTCGATGGACACATGGAAGCTGATAGAGAAGGGAGAGGAAGATGCTAAGCAGAAGTTGAACCAGTTCAGTTCGTTCAGTGTAGTGCAGTGCATTGCATTGCAGTGTGGAAATGAACAACGAGAAGAGGAAGTGAATACAACGTACAAAACACTGGATAAAAACGTGAAGAAGAGTGCACGTAAAGACTAAAGACAGTTCTACGACACATTGGCAAGTGAAGCAGAACAGGCTGTTTGTAGGAGAGACAGAGACCTGACAATATTATATCAAATAGCCAGGTTACTATGTGAGAGGGGAGAGATGAACACAGATGAAACGAATGAAGGATAGTGAAGGAAACGTAGTTAGCAAAGAGAGAGTAGAAACGAAGGAAACGATGTGTTGACCACTTCGAAGTGGTTTTGAATCGACCACCACCACCACTACCACCAACTGCACTTTGTCGAGAAATACCACAAGCAGCCCATCCACAGAACTACCAGTGAACACAAGCCTTCCAACAAAAGCAGAATTGAAGTCGTGAATACCACAAAACTGCCGAAAGCCTGGAAAGCAGCAGGACCAGATCTAATTGCTCCAGAAGCACTGAGAACAGACGCAGAGACATCAGCAGCGAATATACTCACACCACTTTTGCAGAAGGTCTGAAAGGAAGTGGAGATACCTGCCGACTGATTGAAAGAAAGATTACCTTGTCAAACTGCCGAAGAAGGGCGACCTAAGTGTTTGCAAGAACTGGCGTGGAATCACACTCCTGTCCACTCCAAGTGAGCAAAATATTGAGCCGCATCATCCTGGGGAGATTAGACAATGCGCTGGATTCAAAACTATGACCGGAACAGGCTGGATTCAGGAATAACAAATCATGTGTGGGTCAGATTACAAGCCCACACATCATCATAGAACATAGTATAGAATGCAGTCAACTCAACTCAACCTCAACTTCATCGACCTTGAAAAGGCCTTCGACAGCGTCGACCGAGAACTAATTTGACAGACAGCTGCTTCAACACTGCGATTTTAGTGCTGCAAACCTCTATCAGCCTCACTCAACAGCTATATGCTATGCTATATGATGCTGCATGCCAAGTGATCCACAATGGAAAGTTCAGTGGCGCCTTTGAAGAGAAAACAGGAGACAGGAGTGAGACAAGGTTGCCACCTACTAACACCCATGATCTTCCTGATTATGGTCGACTGGAGTGGATTGGATAATGCAGCAGACAACTGTGAGGAGCGAGAGGAGGGGCATACGCTAGCTGAACCGATGAAAAGACCATAGAAGAAGATTTGGATTTCGCCGCCAATGATTCATGTCTGATGTATTGTGGCACAAGGTCGAAGATCTACAGGTGAAAACTGACAAGTTGACAGAAGGGGTGGGGCAGCAAAGACGGGACTTCCTTCAGGTGAATGTAGAGAAGACAGAGGTGATGAAGATATCCAACCAACAACAGAATCAACAGCAAGAGATAGCAATCACCATGAAGTGGAGAAACCTAGAGGAAGTTGTCTCTTTCACCTATCTGCCTAGGCAGCATCATTTCAACTACAGGCGGTACAGGCACAGGCACAGGCACAGGCACAGATGAGAATGTCAAAGCCATCCGGGATTGGAAAAGCAAGACAAGCATTGATTAATCTGAGATCAGTGTGGAGATCTACTGCACTGCAGTGCACTCAGCATAAAGCCTGAACAAGATCTGGATTTCCAACACCAATGTCAGTCAAGTCAGTGCTGTTATGTGATGGTTGAGAGATTAAGCGCATCACGAAAATCACTTGCAACAAACTACAGACATTTATGAACAGCTGTCGCCTACGCTCACTCCATGCTGACACTGAGGATCAGATGGCCAGAGTAGTAAAAATAATCAACAAGGATGTTTGGCTGTCTGCCTGGCTGGCTGACTGGCAACGAACAAACCAACCATCAACCCATTCATCACCCAACAAATATGCAGAAGAGAGTGTAGATGGATTGGATTGGATTGGGCATACATAGAGAAGGCTGATTGGGGACATCACGCGCCAGGCTAGGCCAGGCCTGACAAATCATAATAAATAAAATTACGGCATCCATCCAAGTTCACTTGTTTTCTCTGTCATTAACTTTAATCATATATACCGATAGTGAAAGTACCGAGACCTCAAATCTAGTTACACTCTTAGTTTCATCAGGGACAGTGATACAGCTGAGGATTGCTTTTTGTTTCGAATTTGATTTTACTCGAATGCACCACAGGTACTTGCGACAAATTCATTAAAGGAAGATCAGAATATTCTTTAACGTAAATAAAACTTTTATAATACCTCATAGAACAATAGCGTGTAATCAAAGAAGATTTGCTTTTGGACAGTATCATTAACCAAAGCTGTATAGTTGTATCTATGATTTATGGAAACAAATTATAGTCTATTATTAATCTAAAGGGTCACGTGATCACTATTATGATGAGGAGTGGAACAAAAATTTGTTCAGAAAATGTTCTCGATGTAAAGCAGATTTTATTCATTCAGTTGTCTTTCTTTTTGTGATTTATTGGGGTTTTTATATTGTTGAATAATTCGTTTCTGAAGCTAGAAGGAAAGGTCTGCTCTGATTCTGGTTACACTGTTGGATGTACTTGATGTTTCTGAATACAAAGCTCAGGTTTAGGTCTGTGAACTACCAATGATTGTTCTCTGCATTATTGACGTAGTCAAAGTTCTTTAGAAATGTAGGGAGTCACTCTGATAATTATTCATAAATAAGATAATACAGTTTAGTAAATTAGATCATCTTAAACGAAATTCTTTCCGCTCTTACATTTTTTTTCTATGAATAAATTATTTTAGATCACGCTACTGACTGTTTCATGGATATCATAAAAGGAACAATGAATACCATGTTGTTACTGATTCCACTATCGACTAATAAATCCCTTGATTCTTTTACACTCCCATCTTGACTATTAAGCATGACATATTTGATGGGAAGCAACTTAGTGTTAATTAGCCATCATGTCATAGCAGCATATTGTCCGAGTTCACAACAGTCATACTTGACGCCTATGTTCTAAGTCAGAGCATATGAAAAGCAATAATCAAGACTAATACGTATCTGAAAGTGATAAATATTATTTTCCACATAGATCTCAAGTGATAATTAATACACTTCACAGATAAATAGACTTGCTGATATTGAACAAATATTAAAAATCAATTCAGATGACAAATCCACAGCTCTCGTGGAAGATGAAGAGTTGATTAGTTATTAGATGTATGGAATAGACTTATCGAAACACTAAACTCTTTAGATGTTCGTAGTGAAATTCTCTTCGTAAACAGTTAACTTTAATTGAACCAGAGAGAATCAAATGACGTTTTCATCAGCCACCTCACAAAGTTATCTGATGATTGTGCTATCTGAAGACGACTATACTCT